TATCGATCGCGATTGTCTCTTTTGCTTATTCACATCGATTGTCTCTTTGAAGATCAATTTAGAAGAATAGATTAATAAGCTGGTCGGTTTTTCTCTTGCCAATTTGTTCAGAGAATAAACAATTCTCTACCTCTACACTCTACGTGGAAAATTAGCCGGTGCGGCGATATTCTTTTATCTCTAATTTCGAAAATATACGTCTTATATGCTCTAGGTTTCTAGGTATACGAGAATGTAGCGCGTCGATACTGCGAACAAATAAGTGAGCCTTTAATCTTCATATACTTACATTTACATAGAAGAACGAGTCGTAACATACCAAACGAATAATTTCCAATAAAATTGAAATATCGAAATATAAAATGCATTTTAACAATCGCTCGAACATTTGCTCAGTCGAGTTGCAATGAAATACATTTAACGTACCAAGTATGGTACGTAAAAAATATGTGCGTGATGTGTAAATGATTCGAATTTACCTCATCAGACATGTTCTTGAAGAACATCTGGACATTGCTGACTAAATTGGTGGTCCCCTCCTTAATAGCTGTATTGACATCCTGTTGATTGGGTAGCTGCTGTTGAAGTTGAGCGCTCAAGTTATTGATGAGATTTTGGGCCTCTCTGATGTGGTCGGACAATTGAAGAGGTTGCGTGTCAGTCTGCTGATTCTCGACATCACTAGTTGGTACAACCTTGCCCTCTGTTGTGACCAAGAGGACGGTTAAAATAACCGAAAGTAAGTACCTCATTTCACGCTCGTATTTTCTCCTTGGTCGATTAGGAAACAACTGATGCGTAGGATGGAAGATTATACTCCCTTTTATAGGCGTTTCTTATCGAAGGGGGCAAAGTGCTTATTATCTCACTTCGATGACAATGACCTGCGTTCCTCTCGTGTAGAATAGAAGGCATACACTTATACTTATATATACTTATTTGAATTTGCACTTGCTTCAAGATGTGCTCGGCATTTCCAAAAACAGTATTTGTTTCAAATACTTATATAAAGCTCATTTTTTAATTTTGTTCCTAAAATATTGCTCGATAATAAACAAATAATAATAAATAGATAAAAGAAACGAAGCTTATTGCTATTTACAACTTAAGTTTTATGTGATTATTTTATATTATTATATTCATTCTTATTATAATATTATATTTAATTATTTCTTCATGGTGATTATGATTTTTATTCTGAAAAATCTAAAATTATTTTTAATGACGTTGTCTTTAAAAAAATAATAAGTTGATCTCTTTAATAAATCTTTTCTGCAGATAAATTTAATATACATACGTTAACTCTAATAATTTAATGTACATCACACGTACGTATTATATGTATACAATTTTTTGTCAAATTTGCAATGATTAGTAAACACCTAACTTAGAAAAAGTTTTAATTTTCTTTTCGTAATGTGTAAATACACACACACACACACACACACACACAATTGTGTGTGGACGTGTTTTACTTAGTTGGACGAACAAATTGTTATTTTACGTTTAGCAAGAGTTTTATATTTATCGCAAAAGAAATTAAAATTAATTATAATTAATGTTTCTTTATTAAATGCGCGCGATAGTCAATTCTTCATTTACAATTGTTGTTATAAAGCATATAATACTTAATTTGCAAATATTTTTTTTGTTAAAATCTTTTCATAAAACTTTAATATCAAATATTTATTATTTCCTCTTAAGAGAGAGAAAGAATAATTGAGAAATACTTTCTCAATTTGTGATTTTAATATTAAGTTGACACCTTTAAATTTACTGTTTTCAAAAATCATGATAATTCAATCGTATTTCCAAGTCAAGCTAAATCTTATATATACACATGTGTGTGTCTGTGTGTGCGCGCGCGCGCGCGCGTGTGTATGTACTAGGAACGCAGTAAAACATAGAATGATTAGCAGCATTAATAAATCAACTAATTAATAACATAAAATAAGCATGCTCGAAATTAATAATCCGTTGATAGGATCAAATGAATAGATTATAAAATTTAACAATCCGTAAAGTCAATAATCGCTAAGAATACCAAAATTTCAAGTCAAGATCAACTTGTAAACAGTAACACTATTTTTATAGTTTCTTCTAGAAAAGAGATATTAGACTCCTTCCTACAAATTTATGCGATAAGGAATATATCTTATCAGAGAATGCTTTTATTTATTGAGATTTATAATAATTTATTAGTAGAGAGAAATCCTCCGAAAGGAGAGAAATCTCTTATTTCAGATAAGCTTTCTCTCTCTCCCCCTCCTCTCTCTCTCTCTCTCTCTCTGATGCAGATTATAATATATATTTTATCTTGGAGAATGTTTATAACAGAAGTTTGCTACTACAACTAATAACTTTGTTTAATAAAAAACGTATAATTTAATGTAATTGTCTGATATTTTATTTTATTGTAACAAAGGACATTTTCGTTATTTATAAACAGTTTATAATGAGCTTTATTATAATGTATATTTATACGATTCAAAACGAATTGGTTTCGGATGAAAAAGTCAAAGTTCAAAGCAAGATTGCGATTATCAATTTTAACTGCCATCTATTCCTCCCTCCAGTGAAATGTTACATCAACCGGATAAAGATTTTAGACAAATATACATGTATGTACATAGGTATGCGTGCAACCGAATTGCTGATTCCGGGATGACGTCCAACTCACACTTTTTAAGAGCGAGGGGCAGAAAGATTATAGTCTTTTCCAAACAGTATTTATTTGCTATCATGTATTTAACACTCTATAATATATATATCAGGGCCGTTTCAAGCCGAAGTGCAACGGGTACTACAGTGCACTCGGGCGACTTTTCCATCAAACCAAAACATGTAATATAGACGTATGTATACGATGTATGTGTAATATCATGAATGTATTAGATGTAATTTGTATGATAAACATCAACATTTATTATAAACATCAACATTTGTTATAAACTTCTATTCTTCATATATATATATATATATATATATAGTTATACTTAAGAATTGATTATTCAAAAAAGTAAATTCAATTGTATTTTCTTTTCTTGTAATTTTCTCTCTCTCTCTCTCTCCGTAAAACTGAGATTTAAAAAACAGAAAATAATATTTAAAAAACATTATTTATTAGAAGGAAAAAATTCTATCATTTTCATGAAATTTTGTTTACTCATGGTCAATTATACGCCAATTATATATTTCGGATAATTCTAATCTTCTAATGGTATAGCGAGTTATTTATTCAAGGCTTCAACCTAGCGACTATCGTTGATTATTAAAAGCCTTGACCTCATTGACTGATAACTTTTATTTGTGAATCACTTTGATGAAAGTTTTCTTCCTGTACCCGAATATTCGATAGCGTTAAATGATTTGTGGATCAATTTAAAATTATGTTATTGTTTTATTGTTTCTGCTTTTATATTATTTGATAAACATAAAGTGTATGTTTAATAATGGAAATAATATCGTCATATACATATATATGTATAAGTACATATATATAGGAGAAGGTAGTATTATGGCCAGAGTAGATATAATAGCCTTTCTCTTATAATATCTCCGCTAATATTAGATAGCAAATTCTATAGTGATTATACTTATGAAATTTTTTCAATAACTTACTGTTACTATGACTGTTATCATAACGCTAATATACTACATACATGTAATATACTATACACTAATACACAACAGTCAGCATTTATTATAACGCATTTTTACTTTTAAGCATTTTTGAAATGTTTTTAAGTACAATTTAACATTCAATTACACATACTTCCTCATTCTTCTTAAACTTGAACGTATTATCACACAAACATATATACAGGGTGTCTGATAATTAATGATAAAACTCTCGCATAGAAGCAGAATGGACTAAACTAATTATAAATAGAAAAGTTCTCTATCATTTTGCATTTTTCGCATAAATTAACGAGTTATATCAATTTATGAAAATTTCCAAATTCGCTCAGCCTACCACCAAATGCAAGCGAACGGCGAGATAAGACCACCCAGAGAGAACGCACGTTATTTAACATTTTATTTAGCCATATACATTTCAAGTTATGCAAAGTTAAACAATAGTATAGCATTTTGCTAATGTAACCTCCTAAACATGTCGATAGTATCTTTTTTTTAGAGCTTTTCATATCAAACCAATTGTTTCATAAATAGATTGCAGCTCTATTGTTAATCTATATATAGTTTATATTATGTTACATATGTATGAATATAGATTTTTAGTTCTATATAAGTAGCCTACATGCGAAAGGAGTTATGTGTAATACATTATACATACACTCTATAGTAGTTTATTTTTCTGTTAATTTTGTATAACCAAATACTATTTTTTAAACAAGATCAATTTCTTAAATCTATTTTTGTGGAAGGCCATATTATCACTCCTAATTTTTTTCGAGTCATTATGCAGTGTCGCCACATTTTTATAAATAGCATCCTAAGTAATAAACGTTTCGTAACTTTGAGTTTAGAATCGATTGGACAACATTTTGACAAATGTAATTGTCAACTTTTAAATTTAAATATTAATCATTAACCAAGTTATTGTATAAAATGTAAATAGGGTACCATAATACTATCTTTTCCTCTATATATGTTACATATAATGGCATCTTTTTTATTTTATTGAAACTTTTAGAGTGCATGTGCTTTGGGGATAAAGTGAATTTTGTTGTACAATATTAAAATACGCGTATCTTTTTATTTGTATTCATGAATATCAATATAATTGTGATAAACGTTACATAACTTGAATGAGCCTGAAAAAGATATATATATATATATATCCTTGTAGATAAGACTACAGACTTCAACAGGACGAAGACACTATACAATCAGATTAATTAAAAGATTAATTGACAGACACTTGAAGACACTTGAAAATCGAGTTAGGAGATGTGTTACAGATTTTGCTCACTAGGTGAAATTTTCTATAAAATGCCAAATTATTGAAGAAACTATGAAATTCCGAAGAATTTTTGAAATTGAAACTCCAGTTTGACTTCTCCCAAGAACACATTAATTTTGAATATAATCAAGGTAATAAGAGTTGTTTCTGATATCGCAACCGAGAGAAAGAATTAATTAACTTTCAGTATCATCTTCAGTATCTTCTTCAGTATTTTCTTTAACATATTTTTTTATTGCCTTTCCTATTGGCAATCCGTTTTCCAGCAACTTTTGTATGTTATCTACGATATTCTTGACAGCGTTCCTCCCTTTGTTCAAGAAGTTGTCCAAGAGCGTTCCTACGTCTTCTGTCTGTCGTCTATTCCTTATAACATCGACCGATCTCTTTACCTTACCGGCCTCGTCTTTGACATTCTCTATTGCTTCTTTTAATTTATCAAAGGATTTATCCAGAATGTTTTTCAACTCTTTATCACTCTTCTCCAGGATTTCGTCTACATTTTCTTCAAATTTCTTGACCTCATCGGCATTATCCATAATCTCCTTCGAGCTGTTTGTCAAATTGTCTTGCAGTTTCTGTTTCAATTCCTCCTTGTTTAACTCCCCGAAGGTGTCCTTAATGTTCTGAATTCTATCATTCAGCGCATACTGATAATTTGTCACGATTTCTTTTTCCACATTCTTGAGCTTTTCGAGAACTTGGTTTATATTTTTCTTTCCTTCTTGTAAATCGTTCTTGGCATTTTCTTTAGCTTTCTCGAATACGTTTACGGCGATCGTTTTTCTTTTCTTGACCTCGTCGACAAATGGTTCGAAACTTTTCGTGAATTTGTTCTTGAAATCCTCAAATTTGTCTCCCTTAGGAATAAGGTCAAGTATTTGTTGTATCTGATCAGAGATTTCCTTGCGCAATTCTGTATTTTCAACTTGAGCCGGGATACGAGCCGAGTTATAAGCCTAATAAGCGATAAAAACAAAGTTTAATTATATTTCAAAGTATGATATATGTTTTGTTATTTTATTGTTTAAAGTAACCTGATTTTAAGTAAAATTAAGATATAAGATATTCTGAAAAAAGATGTATTATTCGATAATCGATTTTAGCACCATTACAATATTCAATATTTAACTTTTCTTTTCTCTATTCTTTGCATTTCTGAATTGCAAAACAATTTTTTGCATTTGCGAATTTGCGAAACGTAACTTACCTGGCTCGTGTAACACAGGGCCGCCAGAACGGTCACTAGAAGAGCAACGCGTACCATCGCGATTTAAAAGGAATGACTGAATGACTAGATTGAAGAGATGTGCCAAATTCTCTGTCAGAAAGAAATCAATAAATCGTAGTGCGCAATGACGATTTTTATATATTAGCTGAAATTTGTTGATTGAATGCCAGCTCCATTTATTCCTATTATTTGCCAATTACATTTAACATACACCTGAGCTAATAACTTGATTAATAATAGCGTTCTTTCATATGATTAATGCGCGTGAGAAATGATGAATTGAAACTGTTAATTACTGATTCAACGAAATTATATACTAAATGTCGTAACATCTGATATAACAATATTTCTTTGTTCAAAATATTTTATTGCATGAAAAATATCAGTTAATTTTTGTATCAAATCACCAATCAGTGATGTAGCAGATGGCGTTTTGCAGATGACGATGTACTTTTGCAGATGAAAATGTACAAACAAATACATTTTGTCAACAATTTATTTATCAATTATTCCTCATATGGTTTGATTAATGATGCAAGTTATATTAAAGCTGTATTAATAGTTTTTATAATCATCAAAATATCATTTTTATATATTAATAATTTTCTCGCTACTCTATAAAATTTAAAGAATGTATTTGTGTGTTTTAAATTGTATATATATGTTTAAAATCTATTATATATCGTTGTTTTGTCATACTGTGTATATATCATTATATATATCATTATGTATATATATATACATATATATATATATATATATTTGCTTTTATACATATTTATCCATTTATTATAATTTGGACTACTTGGAAATTAGATGGTCGCTTAGCATATTGATAATACAGACAAGTATAGGATCTGCAACTTATTTATTATCAGATTTAACATTCTGTATCTTCTAAACGAATTGATCGAATTTAAAAAAATCAAAAAAAAAATGAAAAAAATTGAAAGACTTTTCTAATGTTGTATCATTTGAAATTTGCCCCTTTGCCATTTGAAATTTTTTAGGAATTAGCACTACCGCGCGCGCGTGCTTGATAAAAAATTTCTTATTTAAAGCGAATATTTTCTTTAAATTATTAATTATATGTGTTTCACGGCATTTGTGTAAACGTATGCGGTAAACACAATATTAATGCTTTTGCAAATTGCATATAAAGTCTGTTTCTACCGTCATATATTTAATTAAAAATTGCCGCATGTGTTTCAAAGTGGAAGAAAATAAAAGAAAATACTTAAACGAATAATACTAAAAGTAACAAACGCTTTTATGCACGTTAACGTTGAGCTAATGTTACTCGATTTCAAATATCGAGACGGATAAATGTAACATTCGCAAAACTAGAGACCCAGGACAACATTATGTTAAAAAATCAGAGATATCTTAAAGATTGTTTCAAAAGATATTTTATAATATGTCTTAAAGTAATCTTTAAAACGTCTTCAAACCGTTTTATGTTCGCATTTTGGTTGTAATGTTGTCTGGGTATATAATATTAAAATGAGAAATTGTTGTGAAAAAATTAATGTAAATTCAATCAATTTCAACATATCTTTATTCATGATTGAGACTCCAGCGATTACAATCGATTGTTTGATTGGTACGTGTCGGCATTAATTCAGGACTAGTCATGAGATACACAATGATGTTTAAAGACTGTAACGCAAGAGTAGAGGATTGTTAAATTTCTTATAGCACTCGGGATTCTTGAAGTCTCTAGGCAGGAGCTTCCAGACTCGTCCACCGTGGTGGAGTAAAGAGGCACGTATTTTCGGTCTTAGAAAACTGAAGGTGATTGGGCTGGTGGCATCGAGTACGCGGCCGAACAGGATCGATTTGTTCCTCAGGGTGACCGAAATGATGTCGCCCGGCAGTAGGTAATCATAACCGAGAGCGCTAATTATCTGTTCTCTGGGCAGGACGATGTTGAAACCACCCGAGGAAATGGCAGAGCTGCTAGCTACGGCCGAGGAGGTCGATGCGGCGGCTGATGCGGCGGCTGATGCGGCAGCTGATGAGGCGGCTGATGAGGCGGCTGATGAGGCGGCAGCCGATGACGGAACCACGACGGGTAAGATTCGCGAACGAAGTGGATATTTAATTCTGCGATCAATGTCCAGATCAAGGCCACGATATGGAGACGGTCCGAGGACGGTGCGATCACCTCCCGAGGAAGCGGATGCGCTTGCGGCTGCGGCCACGGTCGCTGCCGCGGGTACGACAGTGGACAGGCTCGGCCTGTATTTGCGCAACGGAAGAGTGAGTGGCACTCGTCCAGCAACAGGGGTCGAGATGACGTTTGCCGCTGAGGAAGCAGCTGCAGCGGAGGCGGTTGCCACGTTGTCCTCGAAAACACTGGGCACGACTTCCGGTTGAATCAGAGATGCAGTCGGGTAACCTGATACTACCGGTGATTCCACTATCATCGGTCCAGCGGAAAATACCGGCTGCGTCTCGGCGACGGTGGTGGTGGCGGTGGCGGTGGCGGTAGCGGACGCCGAGGAGCTCGCAATTTCAGTCTTGATAGGAGCGACAGGTGCTATCGGTTCTATCACTGGGCTTACTACCGGGCCACTACCAATAGCAATGGAGCTCGATGCGCTAGACGCGCTGGACGCCGTCACTGTGGTGCTCTGTTCAATCGGTCCGTACCCAAAGTTACCACAGAAGGGTATTCTTGACAAGTACGAGCCGATTTTGGAGAACGCCGAGGGCAAAGCGATGCCTCTTACACCAGTTCTAATTAGATGAGGTAGTCCAGACGCGTAGTAACCATGGTAGAAGCCGCGGAACGAAGATAGCACTTCCGCCAATGATGTCTGATAATCCGGAACAATGATTGAGCTATCGCCGGTGGTGGCCGCAGTCGCCGTCGCCGTTGCCGTTGGCGTCGCCCGCGCCCGCGCCGCCCGCGGGGGGGGTGGCCGCAGACGCCGCAGACGCCGCTGTAGACACGATCGGTTCTGCTACTATTTCCTCCAGCGGAAGTACCGAGCTGAATCTTCTCCAGTGATGCAGGCCCAAACGTAGATGAGAAAACAAATGCGCGAGGATGTGACGAACGTGTGTGCGGAAGAGATCGATTCCAAAGTGCAGCACTTTGAAGAAGACGTGTTTGAGCCGGTGAATGGCACCAATGATGCTGGGAAACGGTACGGCATCTTGAATTATATCGGGCAAAATCAGCAAATGATGAGGTTCTCTGATAACGACGTGGAGAAGATGCGAGGTGTGATGAAACAAGTGGCTAAAAATGTTGTCGGAGACATCCTCAGCTATCAATGGCCCCAAGCTAAGCCCGGACCTCAAGTTCCGCAAGACGATCAGGCCGTAATGCCAAAATTTCCTCAGCTCACAGAAGAACTCGTGCACGATCGTACCCGATAGGTGGAAGTGACCGTGTGAGAAAGCCTCGACCTCGCAAGAGTGAGCATCCAGATCGACCAGAGGAATGACATCCCACGGATTCGCTCCGACAAGTCCATTTGAGGCGGCTGCGGCTGCGGCTGCGGCTGCGGCTGCGGATGCGACCGCTTGACGCTTCGGCAAATTACTAAACCTCTCAGATTTTGTAGTATTCTGTGAATAAACGAATTAAAGATAAGAACCTTTAGTCATTTAAGCAGCACATTTCCATTTTCAAGTCAATTATTTAACATTTTGAAATATATTATGTGACATTATAATATATATAGTAGTTATAATACCATATATAATAATAATCATCGTAGATTATTAACTATGTGTATTTTCTGTCCTTTTTTACTCCAGTCTTCTTTCTTCATTATTTAAATATGAATAAAATAATTTTGCAAGTTTCTCTCAAATGAGATTTGCTAAATTTAATAAATTCTATATTGCACTGTACATAGGTAATGATAATACACTTTACCTCTCGCAATTGTTGCAATCTCTCAGCAATGTCCTCTTCATCCGCAAGAATCAATGCTTGAATGAGATCGTGCATATTTCTGTACGAAAATACGTCATCCTGAAAGAAGAGAGAATCGAATTTAGATTTACTTTCATTCTGGTACATTATTTCATTCTGACAATAAATAAATGATATATTTCAATTATCACCTGAGCATCTTCCTTTTCTTCTGCAATATCGTTGTTTGTTTTAGGCTCGATATTCAGTTTCTCTTGCTCCTCGCTTTTTTTAACGTCCTTTGCCTCTTCTCCGAGCGTTCTTCTCTCATAGATGAATTTTGGTTCCAATGGTTCTTCTTCTAATTCCAAAGGATTATTATTTCTTGGATGGAATACTTCGGCTTCCTTCTCTCTCTTTTCCCGAAGAAATGGTCGCAGTTCATGATCGAAATGTTTCTCAAAGGTTTTAGGAATATCTAAATTGTGCTTGACGTAAGCCGAATTTAGAGATAAAGAGGCCAGAAAGGTGATGGCAAATGCCGCGAGAATATTGTTCGTATTCACCATGATGAGTTTCGATGAGAACTCGATGACACTAGCTACAACAGGCTGCTTCATATACTCTCAGGACTATCATCGTGTCCAGATTTGGCACGAAGATCGTGATGGAATCAAAAAACACCGAAGATTGTTGGTCGACAACGATCGATTAACCAAGATACGTACTGATGCGCGTGAGATTATCCATGATTTCATCAGCGTCTCGCTTTATAATGGAGCACGATTCATCAACATTATTGCTTGAGAGATTGTTAATATGATATTTTTTACGCAACACATATTTGTACAATAATTCTGAATTCTTTTTTTTTTCTTGCCAATGATATAAAATATATAGCAATGTACTTTCTCTAAATATGATTTAATATATTGCACACATGCACATGCGCGTATACACGCACTATATTTATATATTACATAATAAATGTAAGTATATATTAATATTTATGTGTATGTATTAACATTTATGGTAAATGTTAATTTGCTATGTTTATATTATACGTATGCAATGTGTTAGAAACTATTGAAAACAATTTATTTAAGAAATTAAAAAAAATTTTTTAATTAGATGTAATGTAAATATTGTAAATTACTCAATATATAAATACATTAATTTATATGTATAAGCAAATCGATCGCCAAATTAGGGTCGTCAAATTCGATCAGAAATTGATGACAAGTCCGATACCATCTGTGTGTCAGCAATAAATTCGTATTTTGCTAGCAAAGCCTGTGTACTTAAGCAGATTGTATTTAAGCAAATTGGCAAAAAAAAAACCAGCAAAGCTTTTGTCGGTTTTGCTTTTAATCGTTTTTGCTGTCAATTTGCTATCAAGTTGTCAGTAAACTTTGCATGTCAGTAAGTTTTGTTATCATGTTACGTCAACAAATTTTATTGTGCATCTGTCATTAATTTGCTGACATTACAATAGAATATAATAGAATTTGCATCAAATTCTGTTAAATTGCCTTTTTGTCGAAAAAATTTGTGTAGCAAGCATTTGACAAAATTTATTTTTGTCAAATTTAGCTGACTGGATATTTAATGACATAAATAAAGAAGAAAAACTAGCAAATCGATGAAAATTTGAATATTTTCCACATAAATTGGCTTAGCTTTTGATATAATATAATGTAATGTATAATGTTTCATATAATATAATGTAGTTTGGTATATATGTATATACGTACAATGTACATATATGTACGTGACTAATTATTTATTCGCATTTATAAATTTGCTTTACATTTAAATAAAGGAGAAGATTATTATATAGGTATTGTGGCCTTATCTTCGCTATTATATAGCGAATCCTAATGATTACTTATAGAATTATTTATTCAACAGCTCGCCGTTACACCATGACGCTAATATGACTAATTACTCAATAGTCAGCACTTATTAGGTGTTGGAATTAATTCGTAGCGTTTTACAAGTGATGGGAAGTACTTTCATTAATGTATTTTTTAATGCTCATGTGAAATAAATAACATTCTTTCATTAAAAACGCTACGAATTAATTCCAACACCTAATATTATAACGCATTTTTACTTTCAAGTATTTCGAAACGCTTCTGAAGTACTTTTTAGCATTTAATTACACTTATTTCCTCATTTTTCTTAAACTTGAGCGTATTATCACATGAATATATGTATTTTTAAATGCGTTATTTGTTAATCAATCTTTTATTTAATCTGTATATATTTTGAGTTATGAAAATTTAAACAATAGCATGGCATTTTGCTAATGTGGTCCTCTATATTGATTACTCATGATCTCTTTTTTAAGATTTTTATATCAAAAAGTTATTTGATAATCGATGTTGTAGCTTTACTATTAATTTATTATCTATTAGTTCATATTATTATAATATTTTTAGTACTTCTGCATATATAAGTTACTCACAGACTTTTAGTACTTATATACTGCAGAAGCTATGTAAATGTATATATTCATTTGCATACATTTTGTTTTATTTTTTTGTTAATTTTGTAACCAAATACTGTTTTCTAAACAAAACTAATATATTTTAAGGCTATTTTTATGTGGAAGGTCACATTACCATCCATTTTTTTCTTCGAGTCATTATGCAATGTCGCCATATTTTTATTAATAGTGTCCTAAATAATAAATATTTCGTAACTTTGAGTCCAGAATCGATTCAACAACATTTTAACAAATGTAATTGTCAAGTTTTAAACTTAAATATTGATTATCAACAAAGTCATTGTGTAAAATGTAACGGCGATGCCATAATACCTCCTTCTCCTCTACTATTATCGCTTATTATATTATCTTGCGGAAAAAATCTGGTTTATAATCTCGATATTATATATGTTGCAAGTATTGCAAGCTATAAATAGCGATGTAAAGTTAAACAATTGTACGTACGTACGTGTAAGTAAATTCATTTTTATTATAGATAAGAATCAAATCGTATTATGATACATCGTATAACAATTGTGCTATCATGTGGATTCGGTTATTATATCTAATTCTTTTATTATACCTAATTATACTTTTACCACACGTGTCATGTTAAATTTATAAAATAAAAAAATTGTATAAAATCTTCTATATTTAATACAACAACGTCAAATAATTACAAATTATAAAGGGGACATAAAAGTTGAGCGCGATAAATAGCGCACAATAAACAATTTTTATTTAATAATCAAATTATATATTCAGTTACACATAATATAATGCATCTTAAATGTTTCGGTTCATTTTTGAGCCTTCTTCAGAGAATCCGATAACGATGATAAATACATGTATCTCTTGCAACTGTTAATTATTCATTGATGTATGTACAATTGCGTTATTTGTATATACCGTATACTTTCGATTATTTCTTAATTCTTGAACAATTGCAGGAGAGTTCCGTTGAAACGCTACTACTGGTTCCCAGACAATTAATCGATCGAATAAAAACCGGAATATTATTTTTATTATGAAATAACTATAAATAAGGGGAATGACTGTAATAATTACAATTGTGATAAGGGGAATGACTGTAATTAAAAGTTGCTCACCATGAGCATTGGAGATGTTATTATATTTCGTGTGTGCATCAGTTGATGTGATAAAAAATAATAAATTAATGGTAGATCTTATTAAAATGTTCAAAGTAAAGATGTATAAATCGATTGTTCAAAAATTTTAGTCAAAAAATTAAAATAAAAATGAATAATTTACAAGACACTATATTCTACAGTTGTCACTGACTAATGAGTCGATAATATTACAGAGTTAATTTGCCGATGATAGGGAAACAAGTGGAGACCTTTAGTATCTGTTTGTAAGTTTAAACATTTTATTTATGTTTTGATTAATAAATAAATAAAATTTCAGAACAGAAATCAATCTTTTCGTATAATGAGGTTCTTCATCCAAAATAATAACGTTTTCCCATTCGAATTCATGGCCTTCATGCACTATCTATGATCAGTTATGACTGACCGAATGGACGTGAATATACATTTATATTAAAATTAGTCAAATAAAGCATGAATTTGAAGAAAAAACTATATTTATTATTGTTTATTAAAAAAAAACATTTAAAATTTATGATATTTAAAAAAACTGATATTTAAAATGGATAATATTTAAAGATTTAAAGATATATAAAATAAATCTCAATCGTTTTAAGTTAAAGACAAAAGAAGAAATACGTAGAAGGTAGGAGAGTAAAAGGATTATTAAAAATTAGAATTATTTATTTTAAATCTCTCTTTATTTTTTGCTGTCGAATACTATGTATTTCTCACTTGATGAGAGATACCGCGTTATCAGAATTAAGTAATTTCATGCCGTATTACAGCAGCTAGATGTCGCTTGACAGGCGGGGATTAAAATTCTGTCGATTTTACTGGTAAGGCCGGTTAAAAGATTAACAGATTGTGGCGTTGGCACTCTGAAATAAAAATGTTAATTGTTGATAAAATGTTTTTCAGTGAAAATAATCTGAATTGTTATTTGGCAAAGATGCATATATTATATATATATATATATATATAATATATACATATAATCTGTGAATGAATTTGTGAATGGAATTTGTTCTTTTATAAATATAGTATAAAAAAGAAAAATCTTACGAAATTGGTGAAGGTGAAGATGGCACTTGAAAATCGAAATCGTATCTTCTCGAAATTGGCACAGACGGAGGTGGTACAGCCTGGATGTTGTATGCATAAGATTTTCCTTGAAGAGAATCCGGCGTAATTATTTCCGAGGGTTGTGGTACTTGAGGTACTTGTACAAAAATTGGATATTCCATTCGCGGTTGATAAGGGATCGGCTTAGAAGAGATGATTTGATAATTTAATTTCAGTGGTTTATAATCATAAGATTTAGATGAAACAAATTCCGTCACAGGCTTCGCAGGTTCCTGTAAATTATTTTACGGATACATATTTATTAAATAACAATATTCACTTAGATCGGAATCAGACTACGCATTGAAGATTGAGATTGAAGATTGAAAGATTGAAATTTAACCAATTCAAGCAATAAAAGCTAAAATTTCCTTGTTCTTATTAGTCAAATTTAAATCTTCAATCTCAATTTTCAATGCGTAGTCTGATTCCAGCCTTAGACATGCTTATTATGTAGTAAAATTGGAGAATAGATGTGTATATATATATAGATATTATTATTATAATATGGCGGCTAGCATGCCTGAAATGTTGCACGTCATAAAAAATGGAATAATTAATTCGTGATTATTGATAATTCTTTGATGTTTAATAAGTTTGATTAAAAAGTAATGTACGTTATAATGCGCATCTAAAAAAGATGAATGTTATTATACAATAAGATATGTGTGCGTGCGCGCGCGCGTGTGTGTGTGTGTGTGTGTGTGTCATGTGTTATATACCTCAATTGAAACAGGTAGATAACGCGGTGATTGACATGGCTCGCCGTATGTAACTATTTTAACACCATTGTACGGCAATTTGAAGCCGTAAGAAAACTTTGAATGGAAACAGACGATGATAATGATGAAAAATTGTAATTTGAATACCGCCATCATCGTCACAAGGATTTACAAAATCTAAACTGATATTCCATACACCGCGCTCCTGATATAGAAGTGGTTTCGCTGAAGACAAATTCACGAAATATTTCCTGTTTAGGTATAATCACAATGATAAATCTTCAACAATAACAAAATAATAACTTTTCGTTATTACGTGTCTCGTGAGGCTGAGAAATTTAATTGAAAGGTGGAATAAGCACGTACTTTTCTTGGTGCGTGTCCATGCAGGTTTCCTCATTTCCTGTGTAATTTAAATCATCAAATCATCTTATTTACTAGATAATTATCGTTAAAAATAAAAAATGAACACCACGTATGCTAATTGTGTATCAATAAACTAATACACGTTATGAATTTATAATAAACTATATTATATATATATATATAATGTATATACATATTTCATATTTTTATATATATAATTTATTTATTTATAATTATCTATTGTATATAAGATCATTTAGATTCATATTATCTTTATGATTGCAGAGAAAGAGAAAAGATCATACTTAAAAAAAGAAGAAAAATAAAAATGTGTATCGAGAGGTCTTTACATAAATCGATTTTTTTCTACTTATAGAAAGAAATTGATACGTTATTTATCAAAAACTTTATATTTTATGTGAGAGTATGTTGGAAAATAAAAAATGGATTTACAATTATTTGCATATTATTCACATTTGGATAGCCATATAAACTTAATTATATGCTCTCTCACATATACATATATATATATAAGAATAATACGAGAAAAATTGATGCTAAAAAGATTAAATTTATAATTCAATTTAGAAAAGTACCTATCAATATTGAGAAATCTCTCAAATATTAGCATTATTCTCGATTCCATGAGAATATATATTTCTTTGAAGCACATATTACAAAAGGTAAGAAGATATTCAAACTGATTGTGATAAAAAAATACTTTGATATCTATTATAGAATTTTACATTTAAAATGATATTGTCTGTATTTAAATTATAAATTATTATTTTTTTCGCTCGCAATCGTTTTGTTCAGTTCCTTATTTCATTCGTCTCGCTGTTTATAATTTATGCCACGAATGTAAATGAAATAAATCAATTCGACGTAGTTCGTGCATACGAATCGTAAATTTCATGTACGTGTTTCACGAAGAAAGAAGAGAAAAAACAAAAAAGATGTCTTGACGAAGAGAAACGCTTGAACTCGCATGGAGTGTCTTTAAATAGCCTACTGCATACTCCGAGATCCACTCTTTCTCTCGGAGATATACATTAAATATGTTTCCATCGCGGCGATCATCGTACATCACCATGTGGTGTGCTTCCCTTTTTCTGAGTGAAACACTTTATGACGTGTTGACGGTCGTGTTTTGGCCAAGGAAGTAGAAGGCAGATCATAAATCTTCTAGACGCATTTGTAAAATATAGATGGAAACCTGTTTGACCTTTAACGCAGATACATGAGCAACGCAGAATTAAGAAATGTAGGTAGGTAATTACTCAGAAATTGATAAAAATCTTTATTTCTTTTAAAAATGTTTCAACTCACTTTGGAGTCATCCTCAGCGAATGTCAAATTTATCTGCGCGACTTAGATATATCTGATTCTAATTAGTCTTTGTTTGAATTGTATTGTTTGTTGATGGTTGAAATTTATTTGAGATATATTTAAAGTTTGTTGTACAATAATCTATTAGAAAATTTTTCCAATGTTTAATTAAATTTGATTCATAAAATGTCAGAATAAAATAGAAATAAAAAATTTTGATTTGTAAAGTTATATGAAATTATACCGCGTAATTATTGCGTCATTAAAAGTATATATACATGGATAAATTGTAATTTCATGATTTTAATTGCACAGGTGCAAATTAGATTTTCTCTTAATCTTTTAAATCTCTTCCGAACACACATACATGGACCGTTGGACCACATATGTAAACACATACACACGCACACATACAATACATACATATAAAGATTTTTCTGAGTGAGAGAGAGAGAGAGAGAGCCCGATAAAATATTTTTCATACATGAATATATATATAAATATGTGTAAATAAACATAAACATAAACATGTATAAATGTTCGTAAACATATATTATATATAATATTAATTACGTATGAGATATGACCAGACGTATTCATATATGCTTCTTTCATTTGTAAAATTATTTTTTAGTGTACTAAGAATAATAATATAAAAAGTAATTTTACGAAAGAAAGAAAGATGTATATGGACATATACATAGATGTATAATTACACATGATTGTGAATATTTATAGGTATATTTATACATATTAATATACAGAGCGTTTGATAAGTAACGATAAAACTCTCGCGTAGGGATGCAGCGGATTAAATTGAGTCGAAAAAAGTCCTATCATTTTGCAATTTTCGTAATAATTAGCAAGATATCAATTACTAAAAATCATCAAATATTGGTCTTCAATAATTTTTTTACTCAAGTATTAATTTACAGAAAAATAGCAAGACAAAAATTGTTTATCTTCTTCTCATAGAATTCTACAACATGAGAAAATGCGGTATTAAAAAATTCTAAAAAAAATTCTCAGAACTCTGTGAGAAGAAAATGAACAATTTTTGTCACTTGCTGTTTTTTTTGTAAAGTTGATAGTACTCGAGTAAAAAAATTATTGGAAATCAATATTCGGTGAATAATTAATATTTTGTCAACTATTACGAAAATTGTAAAATGATAGAGGATTCTTCGACTCAGTCCGCTTTACCCCTATACGAGAGTTTTATCGTTATTTATTAAACACTCTGTTTATATATATTCATATATAAAAAATTGTTTACCAGGAGAATAAGAATGTTTGGGAACTGTATAATAAAATCAACAATTTGATTCTCGCACAATGCTATATTATCTTATAATAATAACATCACAAAGACACAGGACTGGGACTAGTGTAATATTTTGGAGAGTGTCCACGTCTTCGCGCGTTCAGAATCAATAAAGATTCATCTCGATAATCGCGAATCGTCAATAAGGCGAATCCTTTTTACGCACTTCATATCGTTCGAAAGATCATACGGTTCCACATGAGGATGACGAACGACCGTGCTTTCGGGCGACACTTTTCAGTCTGGCGAATATGCCGGACATGGGCTCGTTGTTATCATATTCCTCGTCGTCGTCGTCGCTAATTTCGTCATAATGACGAACGTAGATGTCTGAACTGTCGTTGTTTCTCAGGAAGTCATCTTCGACTTGATCTCCGTTTCCCACGATTTCTTCTCGATTGATCACGACGCTGCCAGGAACGTAATCGGGATCTGGTGGTCCTACCGGACCGCAGTCTGCTCCGCGGGTATCGTCTTCCACGTTTTTGAATGCGCCAACAGGATCTGCCGATGAGGGCCTGTTGATTGGCGCGTATCCTAGGTCTCTAAAAGCAATTATTCGCCAAAATACATATTTATCTTTGGATTAGCATTTAGTATCTCGATACTAGCTTTAATTACTGCACAAAAAACATACTCGCGTACGCAATTAGTACTGATAATGTTCATCTTTGAAAATGATGCTTGCTCAACATGTTAATTCGATACGATTAAGACCATGTTTTTAAATAGTAAACATTGGAGATTTGATTTAAACAGCGAGGTTGCGAATCTGTGTGAACAGCATTTTTTTTAATGTCAAAACGTACGTTTGATCAATCTAGAAATTAAACATGCGCCTCTCTTTGCGCCTCTGTTGCGCCAAACAAAACATATAACATGTATAATACGACAGCAAGATTCGTAAAGAATAATACGCCCGGCATAATAAATATAAGTATATACGTTGAGATATATCCAGCAAGTTGTATTGCGACGAACCTGATGAGATTTGAGTTGATCTCTGGCAAAATCACCGAATCAAAGATGTCGATCGAGATCATTTGCGAGCCGCGATTAAGTTATATACACAAAATTCTGTTCCTCTTTTGACTCACCCGTACGTAATGAAGTTCTCTTGCAGCCGTTCGGCGATCTCCTCCTGATTTATCTTCTCGCGCTCAATGGCCTCGAGCTCCGCTAATTTTGCTTCTTCGTGCTCATCGTAAGCGCCGATGATGGTAGGAGTCTGTGGCATCGGCTTCAACTCTACAATGGGTTTCTTGAGGATTTGAAGCTTTTCCTCGGGAACATCCGGCACATTTTTGCTAGATGTCGACTCGGTCGGCACGGTTCGATGACCGAATGCCAGCTTGTCTTCCGGCACGAATGCTCTCTTATTGTAGTGGACGGTACGCGGGAAGAAATTCTTATACGCTAAAGTTACTGACACCGGATCCGCTGGTAGTCGAGGATACGAATAGTCTTCGGGAAGCTCTAAAATATAAACAAACGTTACCTACATCTCACACTTGCTTATATCAATCTCATGAATAACTGGATTATGTATATATAACTCGCGGCGCGTGCTGTGTGAAATTACATTACTAGTTATATATATATATATACGTGGTAAACGGAAAGATTTCAGAAAAGAGGTACTGATGTACTTTCTATATATCTTATTGTTAGTTATACATATATCAAGTTAAATTGAGAGACGTACCTGCATCATCGCCAAAATCACAGGTAGATCTGCTCGATCCTTGGATCGTCTCGACGTTACTCGATCGTCCGATACCCGCGTACGCGGTCGAGCCTGCATTGGCACCTGCGTACGATCCGTATGCGGTCGAACCCGCGTTAGCACCCGAATACGATCCGTACGTGGTCGAACCCGCGTTAACACCCGAATACGATCCATACGTGGTCGAACCCGCGCCGGCACTCGCGTGCGATCCGTATCGCGTAGCCAACTTGGCTACATCGTTAGAAATATATTTGTCGAAAATACTCGCGCTCCCGCCGATTGATCCACCGGTCGCTAAACCGAGTTCCCTCAATCCAGCCTCGTCGATCTGTCCATTGAGTATTTTCACGCAAACCTTGTAAGGAATAGGAGGGCCGCATTTGATTTTACCAGGATATGCAGGCGTCACTTTGGTGGTCACCTGGAATTTACTGCTAGGCGGGCTCGGGTAACACAGATCGCCAATCGGTGGAAAACTGTCAACGAATGTTGAAAGTTGAAATTGTGAAATAAGAATAATATAATGGTGAAATCATGATACGAGGAATACACGCGGTATGAAATACCTGGGCACGACTTTTCCTTCAATATTAGAGGATAGGAGATCGCGAACCTCCAGAGATTCGGAATGACTCTTTCCACATCCGCAATTGGAAGTAACTCTATCCGAGACAAAAGTGAAGGGTGAGTGACCGTTGCTTCCGCCAATCGGTCCTCCAAGAATTCCGATGGAAGACGAGGACCTTGAAGAGCTACTGCTGCTGCTGCTGCTGCTGCTGCTGCTACTGCTGCTGCTGCTGCTGCTAAACGGTCCATCGATATATGATTTATATTTGGGAATAGATGCCAGGTTTTCAGACTGCCACCGATCCGTTCCCACGGACAATCTTCCAACCGCTTCGCGTGCCACTGCAGCTTCGTTGATTGCTTCCGGCGACGCGTAGAACAGCGGTTTTTGCACCTTCGCTGATTTCACCACTATTTCCCCGCATTTGCACGCGTTAGTGCCTAAAGAATCAAAAGAGATATGAGCATGACATATAGAAGAGTCTTTTTTTTTCCTCAAAGAATTCCAACTCGACGTATCGATAGGAATGATTAACGAATAAATTTTGAATGTAATCAACGTACCTGAGCCTAAATGTCCACACGTATATTCTGATTTGCATGACCGGATGATGACTATCGTCAGGAGCAAGGCTGCTCCTAGGCTCAGAAAGGACCTCATATCTGTCTCCAACGATAGTACTCTCTCTTTCTCCTTCTTCTCGATCCTCTTCTTCTTCTTGACCTTATATTTATATGATAAGCCGCCAGGCTCTTTAGCGAGCGCGGCGATTTTGCAATCGATCAACAATGATTGTTTGGACGACTTGAATATGCCTGAATACTTCCTGTTGCAACGTTTATGCGAAGAATTTGTTGTGGTTTTATTGTCACTTCCTGAATTCACACGTTCGAATAAACTGCGTATGAAAAGGCTCGTTTTATATATGTATATATAGTTTCATGGCGCGTTCACTCATTGCAAAGATAATCATCCGTTTTGTTGTAGAGGAAACGCGCGAATCGTCTTGAGTGATTTAATTTTATTTCCGTATTTATGTTTATTAACGATAAACAAAACGGAGAGCTGCCAAGATGAGAATGAATAATGCACACGAATGAAAGAAATTTCCATGAATGATAAAGAAACGGGTCAAGATCATTAATCTTACGGCCCCGCGCAGTCTTCTTTTTTCTAGTTTTTAATATCTATTCATATACTGTTTTTATTCATCAATGCGATAAAACCTAACGTTAAAGACTTAAGATAATATCGGGAAAATATTTCAGGATGATTTCATAATATTGTATCACGAGAAAGAAGCTGATGGAAAGAATTTCTTGTAAAATATACGATATTATAAAATATTTCATTTTCCACACACACACGCACGCATGTACGTATATGATACAAAATATTTCGAAAATTATTTCATAGTTGTATAGTGTTGTTAAAAGAGTGTTTGAAAGAATTTGTATATCATTTGCATTCTCTTTCGACGAATTTATTTAAAGAATTGATACAATTTATGATTTTGATATAAAAATTTCAAATATAGAAAGTCTCAAAATCAAATTATATAGTAGAAAATAATTGCAGACATAACAAGTGCTTGCTCGATTACGTGATCATCTTCAAAATGTAGACGATGGACAAACATCAGCGTTTATTTTTAATTAATTAAAAAACGAACTACAATTAAAAAACGACGAAAGTTTTGGCTAGATTATTATTAAATTTATAAATTAAAAGAAGAAATTGTAAACACAATAAATTCGGATGAAAGTTCGGTTGCAAGAAAGAAAGGAAGGAAAAGGAGTTGTACATATGATGCAAAAGGAACTCCGGTATTTAATTTATGCTCATAAAAGTAAATTTTGATCATGTATTAATTTTACTTTTTTGCAGTTTGCAAGATTCCAAGTTCTACAAAAATTATTATCGAATGGACGAAGATCTTTTTGAGAAACTATTAATCTGTATCACTTTTCACATATGCAAAAAAAAAAAGGTACTGTATATGTGCGTCACGTTGTAAGGTGAATTTGTAATATTTCTCTTTAATATATCTTTATATTAAAATGTAAATGTAAAATGTTTTTTCTTTTTGCAGTGTGCATATAGTTTCCAACATTTTCATGGAATATTCCTGAAACATTGAAAGCAATAATAATCGATGAGCTCCAAGATGAATATATTAAAGTATATGTTTTCCAAAATCTGTTTATAATTTGTTAATATGATTATTATTATTATTATTCTATTATTATTATTATTATTACTATTATTGTATTATATTTATTGAACAAAAATTATTTCAATTACTTACATAAATGATATTAAAGAAGA